AAAAAAAAAAAAATATGATGTTATGAGCAGTAGAGGAGATGTTAACTGGCACAGAGTAAGGGTCCATTGTAAGCAGTGAGGCTGTGATAGTGAAATAGATCAACAAATAAGTCAGTGGTTGGTGCGGGAACACAGAAAAATGTAATCGTTCCTCAGCAGTGAAGTTAACATTTTAGTTAACTAAAGTTAAACTCAACTTAGTTGAGGCTTGAAGGGTTAATAATAGGCAGAGAGGAGGAACAGTGTTGCAGGTAGTGTGGTAAGAACAACAGGCACAAAAACACATGATGGTGTGTCAGGGGAGCTACACAGTTCATCTTGACCATAAGAGTGCAGTGCAAGGCTCAGGGAGAAGGGAGCCAAGACAAAAGGGGTCAGTAGGATCAATTCTCTCTGGGCCTCACAGTTTGCCTTATTACCCAAGAACCCCACCCACCTACCAAGTCTGAGCTCCTTGGAGGCAGGGTTCTATAGGCTTTAAAACAGTGTCCCCAGAGTAGTGCTGAGTATAATAGGGACACAGGAGACATCTATGAATGAAGGAAACTCCAAATTACTGGGTGTTTGGGGCTTCTCTTCCTGGGCCAGTTTGTGCGGTACCAGAGCAGCAACATCCTCTCTCACGAAGAGGTGGGTCATATTCTGCAAGGTGTGACTCTGGCTGACCTGTCTACCCTCTCAAACACCACACTCCAGGCTCTGCACAGCTTTTTTCTGCAGGTGCGTGGGAAGGGGATGCCATGTAGCCACTGTGAGAATAGACTCTCAAGACCATCTTCTCTGTGGAGGGTGGGAGCTCTGGCCACAGCAGCCAATGGGAGGTGGGGAGTGCAGGGGTTGGGAAGCAGTTAGGGAGGGCCTATAGAGTAGGCTCTGAGAAGGCCTGCCTTCACTGACTTCTCTTAGATCCAGAGCAAGGGCCTGCTGGCTGACCATAGCATGGCCCAGACCTTGCAGGCCTCTTTGGAGGGCCTTTTGCCTAGTGCTCCCCTGGGCCAGGCGCTCCCACAGGACATGCTGTATCCTTTCTTGCACATGGGACCCCTGGCCAAAAGATTTGTAGAAAGTTGTCCAAACCCATTTGGCACAAGTGTTCCTCAGTCCAACACAGGGTGTGTGTGAGGCTGTAGCAGTGTTCAGAGGCCCTCTAGGGGGCAGCTGCTGTACCCCAGAGTCATTGCAGTCAAGAGGCCTGTGCATGGGGTAGAGTGCTTCTTCCTAACCCATAGGGGCTGCCTCTCAGGCTCTCCTTGCCTTTTCCATGTATAGCAACTATCTAGCGCAGTGGTTAAGGTCCCAATTTAGAATTCACCCACTATTCTTAGGAGTACTTCTTTGACCATTCTGCCTTTTTCTGGACTCTGGAAGTGTGTTCCCTTTATGGTCGGCCCCTCTTTTCTGTTGTTCTCCTCTCAAGTTTTGCTGCCAGCTGCCTGGGAGGGGTGGCTATATCTCTGTCCCACATCAGAGACTGACCTTCAGGACTTGACAGCCTAGAAACAGAACTGAGACCTGGAGACAAAGTTGGGAAATGGATGACAATTGAAGCCATTCATCTGGAGTCATTTACTCCATTGTTGAAATGCAATCAGGAAATAAAATGGTTCATTCACAGACCTGCATGGGCTCTCCAAAAACATTTCACTCTGGATTCATCGTGTCTCACTTGTGCTGGTTTCTGAACCAGTTGGACAGCAGATTATTTCATCAGGAGATTGATGGAGTCCTGAGGTAGGGTGACCAGATTTTAACATTTGTAAAGGGGGACAACATGGAGGGGGCGGGGCAGGGCAGGGCCTGACAACAATGCAAACTTTGATAAGCAGTTCTCGATAATCACTCTCAACAATTGTTTGTTATTATTACAGTTTAACATTATAAAATTAACAAAAATAATATAAAACTCATTCTGGCGAAATAGCCACATGGCAGCTGAAAACCGTATATTCCCTTCCTGTTCTCCCGCCCGTTCGTGCATTCTTTCCAAAAATTGGGACTTTTTAAAAACGCCCCGGGACGCGGGACAAATTGTTAAAAAGCGGGACGTCTGGTCACCCTATCCTGAGGGAGAGAGGGGGAGGGTTTGTTCTGGTAATCTTGGAGGAGCACCAGCTGGATGCCTCAGTTGCTCTCTGGATGCAGAGTCAGGCCTTCCTTAGGGCTGGAGGGGCAAAGAACGGGCACATGGATAGGGCTGCTCTGTTCCAAGTCACTTTACCTGCTGCCTCACCTCACGTGGAGGTGTACAGAGGTTTAATTTCCAGACAAAGCCCCTGCGGCTGAGCTAAACGGTCTCGGCCTAGGCAGTTCCCTAGTAGGGCGCCTCTGTTCCTTTCCCTCCCGCCTTCCTCAGAGCCTGCATTTACATAGCCAGGGAGCAGCTCTGTCTGCGCCCCACAACTGTGCCTGCTTTAGATCCGAGTTCAGCCTGGGCCTCCAGCTCCCTTTCCTCCTGGTAGGGCCCCAGTGCCCGGAACTGGGCACGCCCCCCACCCTCGGGTCGGGTTGTCCTGACCCTACGCAAAACGGGCCGGTTGAGAAGTTGGTATATTAGAGGGAAGAGCCAGGGATGAGTGCCGCACAGCAGGCTCTACTAGGTCCTTAAAGGGGAAAAAAAAGTGCTAGTCACGATCCACCAAAGTGGTCTTGGTAACTTAAGTCCAAAAAACGCGGGTCATAGATGACGAAACAGTTTTAAGGAGGGCACGTGTAGGGTCGCCGGGTCAGCTGACACGCCAGGAAGTTGGGCACAGACAGCACCTGCAGACTTACTAAACTTCCTCCCACCCAACTCGCAAGTAGGGGCATGGAGGGACACTGCCGGATCCGGGCACCGAGTGGGCGGGACGAGGCCCAGCCTGCAGCTTGGCGGACGCTCACTGGAGCCTGGTGGGGAGGGCGGAGCCGGAAGTGAGGTAAACAGTAGGCGTTCGCGGCCCGCGCTCATTGGCCAAGAGCGCGGAGTTGGTGGAACGGCGCTCTGCAGTTAGTATGCTGGTGCTCTCCCGAAGCGCCGGAGTTGAGTGTCTTTTCTACCTCGGGCCGGTCTGCCCTTTCCCACACCGTCCGGCCAGGTAGGTGGTGGCTGGCGTGCCGGACTGCAGGCACCTGGGGACGGGTTTGTAGAGACCAAAGGTCTCCAGCCTGCTGCAGGGCGAGGGGAGGAAGTTTCGTAGATCGGTTCTCTTCCTTGAAAAGACTCGCGCCTTCCTCTAGGAAGCCCCGAAAACTCGGGGGCTACAACCTAGGCCCGCCACCATCGAGTCACTTCTGCAGAATAAGGTCGAGTTTCGTGCTGAGTCCGAAAGAGCTCTGTGGACGCGCAGGGCGGGAGCATTGCATGATTGAGAGGCTGAGAAAATGGGAGTAACAGTAGAGAAAGCAAGACCTGCGGCCCCCCTCCAACCCCCCTGCCACCTGAAATCTGCTTTTTCAGCTTTTGTCTCCCACTTCTAACCTACTGCACTCATTGCTGGCTGTCTGGTACTTCCCTTTACCCCCAGATTTTGCACGAGATTCTGATTGCCTTGCGTCTGGAACAGGACGGTGGATGGGGGGAGGTACTCTTTCTCTAGACTTAAGTTGTCTAACCTGTGGGGAGTGGAGGATTTTCCAGATGACCTCTGCGTCCTGTCAATGTTTATAACTGAGCATCTCTCCCTGAGACAGGTGTCCTGGTAAATCAGTGGGCAGACCTGATCTAAGATAGCCTATGCTCATTTAGAAAGAGACGGAGGCGGTGACTCACACCAGTAATCCCAGCACTCTGGGAGACCGAGGCAGGAGGATCTTTTGAGCTCTGGAGCTCGAGACCAGCCTGAGCAAGAGCGAGACCCCTGTCTACACTAAAAATAGTAAAACTAGCCGGGCTTTGTTGTGGGTGCCTGTAGGCCAAGCCACACTGGAGGCTGAGGAAGGAGGATCACTTGAGCCCAGGAGTTTGAGGATGCTGTGAACTATGAAGCCTTGGCAGTATAGCCTGGGGCAACAGAGACTCAGTTTCAAAAAAACCAAACCAAACAAACAACTCCCCCACCCAGGAGCTGAGGTCACTGTGAAGTAATGGTCATTTATTTAGCGAGAGTAATAATCAAAGACTTAAGAAGTAATAGAGAAGGTTACATGGATAAAGAAAAAAACAATAGGCCAGATCGGTGGCTCACACCTGTAATCCCAGCACTTGGGAGCCTGAGGCCAGTGGATTGCCTGAGTTCACAGGTTTGAGACCAGCTTGAGCCAGAGCAAGACCTCATCTCTAAAAATAGCAGCGTGTTGTGGCAGGTACCTGTAGTCCCAGTTACTTGGGAGGCTGAGGCAAGAGAATTGCTTAAGCCCAGGAGTTTGAGGTTGCTGTGAGCTATGATATCTGAGCACTCTATACGGCAACATAGTGAGACTCTGTCTCAAAAAAAAAAAAAAAAAGCCAGGTGCAGTGGTCCATGCCTGTAGTCCCAGCTACCTTAGAAGGCTTGGGGATAGCCTGGGCCCCAGCAAGACCCCATTTAAAAAACAAAACTAAACAAAAATTCATGTTAAAAGCTCAGCTTTCCTAAGTAATCATTAAAACCCAATAAAGACGACACAGGAAATTACCTTGATAAAATGCAAAATCTTTGTTTCTTAGGCCAGTTACCTACCAAAAAGGTTTAAAAATTAAAAAACCAAATTCCCACAGTGTGATTGCTTTTCCTCATGAGAAGCTCATTTAGGTTATCTGAAGGTTGAACCTAATTAAAAGGTACTTGAATTTAATCAGACACAAGAAGAATATGTCTAAGGTTATGAGTATACACAATATTGTAAGGAATGTAAACAAGAAAATAGTACCTTGCGCAGGGGAATACATGCCTCTTGCAGAAAGCCATGAGAAATTCGTGGTTACATGGAACAATTCAGACACTCAATAAAAGTAAGCCACGGGCCCTGGCATGGTGGCTCACGCCTATAATCCTAGCACTCTGGGAGGCCCAGGCAGGTGGTTTGCCTGAGCTCACACTTTCAAGACCAGCCTGAACAAGAGCGAGACCTCATCTCTAAAAATAGCTGTGTTATAGCAGGTGCCTGTAACCTACTGGGAGGCTGAGGCAAGAGAATTCTTGGGAAGCTGGAAAGTTTGAGGCTGCTGTGCACCGTGACACCACGGCACGCTACCAAAGCCATCAGAGTGAGACTCTGTTTCAAAAAAAAATAAAAAACAAAAACAAAAAACCGTCAACCAGGTTGTAATCTGTAATCCTAGCATTTTGGAAGATTGAGAAGGGAGGATAGCTTGAGGCTAGGAGTTTGAGACCAGCCTATCTGACAAAGTGAGACCCCATCTCTACAAAAAACGGAGTGTGGTGGTGTTCCCTGTAGTCCCAGCTTTTCAGGAAGCTGAGGCAAGAGGATTGTTTGAGCCCAGGTATTGTTTGAGGCTGTAGTGAGCTGTGACTGTGCCATTGTATGCCAGCCTGGGTGACAGAGTGAGAACCTGTCTCAAAAAAAAAAAAAAAAAAAAAAAAAGATTTGAAGAAAATAGAAAAGGACCATGCATAGTGGCCCACACTTGTAATCCTAGAACCCTAGGAGGCCAAGGCAGGTGAATTACTTCAGCTCAGATGTTCTGAGAGCAGCCTGAACAAGAATGAGACCCCACCTCTAAAAATAGTCGGGCATAGTGGCAAGCTCCTATAGTCTCTACTTGAGAGACTAAGACAAGAGGAACACTTGAGCCCAAGAGTTTGAGGTTGCTGTGAGCTATGATGCCACCAACACTCTATTAAAGGTGGCAAAATGAGACTCTCCAAAAATAAAAAAAGCCAAAAGTACAAAATCAAATTATACTAGAAGAAAATATTGCTTTTCTAGGCCTTCAATACAGAGCATTTTGATGTCAGGCTATAATAGCAGAGGTAAAACCAGGGAAAACAGTTATAGGAACTGTTTGGAAATTTTTTTTTGCAGTTTTTGGCCGGGGCTGGGTTTGAACCCGCCACTTCTGGCATATGGGGCCGGCACTCTACCCCTTTGAGCCACAGGTGCCACTCTTTAAAAGAGAATTATCACTCCAGCCAAGCAAAAAAGTTGTACCCTCCCAAGGAGAGAAAGTGGAAGAGTAGAAGGCAGTGATGTATAACCTTCAAATCACATATTGAGATTTAGGAATGTGAACTGTTGCAGTATTCAATAAGTAATTGTGGGATGTTGCTGGAATAGCAACAGGTGTTGCTCTTGTGGTTCCAAAGTGAGTGAGTAGCAACCCTCTTACCTCAAGACTCCTCCATCTCCCTTCCCACCCTTTGTCTATTCTTCCTTTCCAATGACAGAAGTCAGGGATGGAGGAAATCCCAAAAGTTTCACATACCCCCTGCCTGCTTGGGCTTCCTTGATCTTCCAGGAAGGCTAGGATAGTGGCTACCCCTCTGTCTCCAGGTATGTGCCTCACCCAGGCCTCTCTCGCTGCAGTAGGGAGGTGACTTCCTTATCCCAGTTTTGTAGATAAGGAAGCTGAGACTCAGACTGGGCAATTTGCCAAAGGTCTCACAGTCAGGGGCAGGGGCCCACCTCTAGCCCAGAGCTCTGGCCACTGACTCCTGTGCTCAGAGCACCTTTGTGTTGCTAACATTTATCTTCCTTTCTCCCTCCTACTATCTTATGGGTCTTTTTTTTTTTATTGGAGACAAAGCCTCAAGCTGTTGCCCTGGGTAGAGTGCTATGGCATCACAGCTCACAGCAAACTCCAACTCCTAGGCTCAAGCGATTCTCTTGCCTTTGCCTCCCAAGTAGCTGGGACTACAGGCTCCTGCCACAACACCTGGCTATTTTTTGATTGCAGCCATCATTGTTGTTTGGCAGGCCCAGGATAGATTCGAACCCACCAGCTCAGGTGTATGTGGCTGGCACCTTAGCCGCTTGAGCCACAGGGCTGAGCCTATCCTATGGGTCTTTATTGCATGTCTTCTGGTCACAGGCCCTGGGCTGGGGAGTGGGCTTCAGGGCTTCCCAAAGCTGGGTTCTTGGTATTTGAAGGCTAGGCCATGCCAGGGGAAGTGGCAGTTCACCTGCACTCTGTGTATGTAACCCCAAACTCTAGGTCTCACTCCTTTTCTATCCATTACTCCTCTAGCTCCAGGATTTTGGATATGGACCTTCTTCGCTTCCTGGCTTTTCTCTTTGTCCTGCTGCTGTCTGGGACGGGGGCCACAGGCACCCTAAGGAGTTCCCTGGACCCACAGCTGGAGATCTGTATCCTTTGGGATTAGGGTTACTGTCTCTGAGCGGTCTGTGAAGTCTATACCCAGAACTCCTGAGAGATTCCAAGAATGGACAGGCCCAGCTGGTGGGAAAAGGGGAGAAAGGAAGGTTTTCAAGCCAGACCTTGAAAATGTTAGTTCTCTCCTGAGCCTCAGTTTCCCCATATGTTAAATGGAGATGAGAAGGCACATCTCTAAGGCTATAAAGGCTTGGTGAGAACTGCACCTGTGCCAGCACCTTGTGGCCAAGAGTCTGGGCAGAGACTCAGGAATTCTGGATTACTGGCTCATCTCCTCCCTGGTAGACTGGGCTACCTCTGGGTCAGGCCTTGTGGACATGAAGATGAGTCAAGACCAGTGCCCAGATTTGAGGAGTCTACAGGCCTAGGGGGAAAAAGCATCCAAACAAATGATGGTTGTACTCTGATCAGGGCTCTGATGGACCCAGGATGGGTCAGTTTTGAGATGGGACTTGAAAGGGTAGAAACTCATAGGGAAGGGGAGGGACATCCAGGTAGAGTAAACAGCATTCTGGAACAGTAGAGATGACAGAAGACTACAGTGAAGGAAAGGTGGGAGAGCCAAGCTCTGGAGTGCTGGGATCAGGCTCTTAGGTACAAAACTCTCTGTGAAATGCAGTGCAAGGCTTGTGTACTTCTCAGTTTGTTTCCTTCCTGGGAGGTCCCAGCCATGGACATCTGTGGCTCTTGCAAATACTTGCTGATGAGAACCACTGGATTGTTCAGGCAGGGCTATAGTTGCTGGCCACTTAACTTAATGCTGCCCAGACAAAAAGATGTTTGAGGTGAAGCGGCGGGAGCAGCTGTCAGCACTGAAGAACCTAGCACAGCTGAATGATGTCCACCAGCAGTACAAGATCCTTGACGTCATGCTCAAGGGGCTCTTTAAGGTGTGTGCAGGCATGGGGTAGTTCACAGCAGTCCTAGCCCTCGGTCTGGGCACCAATGGATGAGTAGGAATTTCCTGAGGGGCTGGTGTTCAATGAGGGGGGAACTGTACACACAGAGAGTTGAAGTAGGGTTTAAGTAAGTGGGATGGGACCAGTCTATGATGGGCTCTGCAAAGCCACTCAGACCAGGTGGGGTTCTCCCAGGTGCTGGAGGACTCCCGGATGATACTCATTACTGCTGATGTGCTCCCTGATGGGCCCTTCCCCCAGGATGAGAAGCTGAAGGATGGTATGGTTCCCAACCCACCCTCTCCTTTCCACTGCCCTGATCTTCTCTAGCTGCACCTTCCTTTCAGTTTTTGTCACTCTTTTTTTTCTCTTTGGAAATACCCTCTTGTGGTACCTTCCTGGTGATTCTCTCAGATGGATGGGTGTTTAGTCTGTGATTCTTCAAGCATTTCTGGGCTTCAGATTGAATTTCTGTGCCTCTGACACAGGTGTGTTCCCTTCTGCTGTCCTTTGCTTGGGGCAGAGGAACTGGGAGGAGCCTCTGTCCATTACTACTCCAGAAACCACAAGGATCAGTTAGTCACCAACCTGACCCTTCTTGTAGGGAAGGCAAGAGTTGTTCCCATGTAAAGAAGGAAAAGCTGAGGCCTGTCAGAGTGGTTGAGCCAGTGGAGCAATTACCAGCACTCTTTACTATCATTCTAATATCTTAAACCCTTTTTAGACAAGGCAGAAATAACAAGATAAAAAAAAGTTTGTGTTCCTTCACCCCCTCTAAGAATTTCTCTTCAGTTATGATAAACCTGCCCCCATTATGTGGCTGCATTTTACACATAACATTAACATTTCTTTTCTTTCTTCTTTTTTCTTTTCTTTTCTTTTTTTTCTTTTTTTTTTTTTTTGAGACTATGTTGCCCTTAGTAGAGTGCTCTGGCATCACAGGTCACAGCAACCTCAAACTCTTGGGCTTAAGCAATTCTCTTGCCTCAGCCTCCCAACTAGCTAGGACTATAGGCGCCCGCCACAACGGCCAGCTATATTTTTTGTTGTTGTTGTAGTTGGTTGTCCCTGTTGTATAGCAGGCATGGACTGGGTTTGAACCCCTAGCCCCGGTGTATGTGGCAAGCACCCCAACCACTGCGCTATGGGCACTGAGCCAACATTAACATTTCTTACATTACATTGTCTGAGAGAAGATGGTGGCAGCCCTCGAATATTGAATAGTGGAGACTTTACAAATATCAACTCTAATCTCTATTACAGCTATGGGGAAGGCACTGTTTCCTCTATTTTCCAGATAAAAAAGGACAAATGATTTGCCCTGGCTCTCCTTCTGAACTAAACTGACTCCTGATTTCCTTGAGGTTCAAGATTATTCTGAAGCCCAAGGCTCCCTTCCTGACATGTCTCAGATCCAACCTGGAATCTTTCTGGGTGGCCTGGCCAGTGCTGTGGAGGGTGAACTGGGCCCTCAGAAGGGCTGGCTCCAGTAGGGGCTACCTCTGAAGCTGTGGATTGGTTAGTATGTGTACTTCCTCTCCATGTAAAGAAGGAAAAGCTGAGGCCTGGGGTATTGCCACCTAGATGGACTCATGTTCCATGGTTAGCAGGTATATACAAACCTATCCTGGCTCGCCGCCTGTGGCTCAAGTGGCTAAGGCGCCAGCCACATACACCTAAGGTGGTGGGTTCAAATCCAGCCCGGGCCTGCCAAACAACAATGAGGGCTGCAACCAAAAAATGGCCAGGCGTTGTGGCGGGCGCCTGTGGTCCCAGCTACTTGGGAGGCAGAGGCAGGAGACTTGCTTGAGCCCAGGAGTTGGAGGTTGCTGTGAGCTGTGATGCCATGGCACTCTACCCAGGGGGACAGCTTGAGGCTCGGTCTCAAAAACAAAACAAAACAAAAAAAAACCTCTCCACAAAGACTGAGGGAGCTGAGTGAAAAGAGGCTGACAAATCCAGTTTCTCAGAAAAAAACATTTGCTAGGGCCTTAGGAAGAGAAGCAGCGTCTCACTCAGGCAGCTACAAAGCCATGATCTCCACACCTACTCTCCAGAAAACATCCTTTGTATAGTAAGCTCTTTTGGTAAAACATGTGCAGCTGGTCATGTCTTTTATGACCCCTGGAGAGGTTAGATGGACACCTTCGTGAGGGGTTATATGTGTCGTAAGCATTGTCTTAAGACCTTGCTACAGAATACCTTTCATATGGAGTCAAACATTAGTCATCATGGCATTTTTCACCTCAGAATGGTGTCGCTCTTGCCATGCAACAGGCTCTTTCCTGTAACACACTAACAGAGCTTAGTCTAAACTGACTAGTTGACCAGTGGAAGCACATTAGTGGGAAAATTTATGAAATTCATATGAGGTCTGTAGATTAGTTAATAGTATTATATTGCTGTTAATTTCCTGGTTTAGATAGTTGAACATTGGTAATATGAGATGATAACGTTAGAGGAACTGAGAAAAGGAATTTTGTGTTGTATTCTGTGGGTCTAAAATAATTCCAAAGTAAGAACTTAAAAAGCACTTAAGACAAAATAAAATGGAAAAAATTGGCTCAGCACCTGTGGTTCAAGTGGCTAAGGCGCCAGCCACATACACCTAAGGTGGCGGGTTCAAATCCAGCCCGGACCCGCCAAACAACAATGATGGCTGCAACCAAAAAAGAAAAAAAAATAGCCAGGCGTTGTGGCCGGCGCCTGTGGTCCCAGCTACTTGGGAGGCTGAGGCAGGAGACTCGCTTGAGCCCAGGAGTTGGAGGTTGCTGTGAGCTGTGAAGCCACCACACTCTACCCAGGGAGATAGCTTGAGGCTCTGTCTCGAAAAAAAAAAAAAAATGGAAAAAATTTTAAGGAAAAGTTCTGGCCTGTTCCTCAGCCCTTCTGATGGACCTGATTCCTCTCAGACACCTCAGTTGTGTTGACCCCAGGCCAGTCTGCACATGTGCACAGGTCTGAGGAGTCTAGCAAAGCCTCATGTGATGCATCAGCAGCTGAGTGCAAAGTAACATGCAGCTCTCTAATCCCCACAGCAAACAAATCTAAGCAGCAAGGTGTGCCTTTGGATGTGCAGCCCTGGGTTTGCAGCTCAAATTTGCTGCTCACTAAAGTCTCAGTTTCCCATCTGTAAAATGAGAATAACAGCCACTTCTTCTTCCAGTTATGAGGATTCAGTGAGCTGGTTGGTAGACATAAGGGTCTTAGCTTACACTGTGCACATGATCAACAGCCTATTGTCGGTGTGTGCTGTTCCCTTCCCTGTTTAGTGGGTTTGGCGGATGCATCTGTTCTCTGGAAGACGCCAGGGGCTGGGCATCTGCCCTGTCCACTCATCAGGGTCCTCTCTCTAGCTTTCTCCCATGTGGTGGAGAACACGGCCTTCTTCGGCGATGTGGTGCTACGCTTCCCAAGGATCGTGCACCACTACTTTGACCACAATTCCAACTGGAACCTCCTCATCCGGTGGGGCATCAGCTTCTGCAACCAGACAGGTGTCTTTGACCAAGGACCTCACTCACCTATCCTTGGCCTGGTAAGGACTGGGGCGGTGGAGGTCCGGGAGCCCTCTGTCTGATGGTGTGCCAGGAGCCTCACATCTGCCTTCAGTTGGGCCTGAATGTCAGGGCTTGGTAATGTTTTCTTTGTTGAGCTTTAGGGCACCTTGTATTATAGAAGCCCCATTTGAAGGGGCTCTGTACTGACAGGGGTCCCTTGGGGTCATCCCCCGGCCCATATCTGTCCATTTTGGGGCCCGGGGCTCAGCATGGAGGGCATGATGCTCTAATGAGCAGGAGGCAGAAGAAGGCAGGAGATGACCAACTTTTCCTCATCTGCAGATGGCCCAGGAGCTGGGGATCAGTGAGAAAGATTCTGACTTCCAGAACCCATTTCAAATAGACCGCACAGAGGTGAGTTGCTGGGGCCTATGCTTGACTGTTTGCTTTGTCTCTGCTGGGCCATAGGAGGCTGGAGCCTGCAGGGGCTTGGGGGCCTTACATGGTTTTGGGGAGCTTTGGGCTTGGAGCCAGACATGCCTGGGTCTGGCTCCAGAAACCATTGCTCACTCACTAGAGCCTTTGGCGCAAGTCACTGGTCCTTGTCTGTTCAAAGGGTATGGACCCCAGTAGTCATGGGCTGTGAACACACCCATCCCAACACAGAATGGGCACCTCACTTAAGGGGAGCATCAGGGCAGCCAGGGGAGGTCAGTCCACACTCTTCCCTGCCCTTGAGCTTCTAGCACAATCAGGGCTTCTATCCTCACTCCTGCACACACTCTTGTTCTAGGGCACAGAGGGCGGCTCTAAGGGCAGGAGGTTGTAGTTTGGGGTGAAAGATGGAAACACATACAATAAAGGGCAGAAAGGATAAAAGGCAGCAGGTTAGAGCCAGGACAGGAACGAAGAAAGAAAGGGCTACAGGTGGCTAGAGAAGTGGTCTGTCAAATCACTGGCTGGCCCCTGGTGTGCGTGTGTAGGGGGGGATATTCATTCTATGAGAGATCTGAGGTTTTACCCTGATTACAGGTCAAGCTAGCCAGCTACTCTGTCATAGACACTGACAGAGGTGAGATACCAGACTTTATTACAATGAAAGTGATAGCCAGACTATTGACCTAGTCGTTTTGGTTTACCTTGTTGCCCAGTTCCTATAGGGGTAACATGGAAGGGTCCAGGTGGATGCTGTGCGTGCAGTGGGTTTGCATCACAGTTGAGAACTGCTGAGCTGGGGAAGTTCACTGTTTTTATAGTGAACAGAAGCAAACCTCTCTTTGTTTGGGAGTAGACATTACCTCAGCTTTCAAAGTTGCTTGCTATTAACACAATCCTGAGACACGGCCCAAGTAAAGAGTGGGCTTTGCATTCTTGGTATACCCAACAAGAACATGCAGGAGTGCTCGAGTGGATCACCTGCCCCAAAAGTCTACTTGGTTTAACTTAAATTTTCCCATGAGTGTGCTACTTAGTCTGAGTACCAATCTGCTATTCACTCCCACCTGCATAAGAGAGTGAAGATTGACCCGCCTGTCTGTGATGTTATTGCCCCTAACTTTGGGGGACAATATATGGTCCCAAGCAGCCCTCATCCCCCACAGGGAGACATTCTGTGGCCCACATGCTGCACTTTGGGTGACCCAAATCAACAGTGTTTGACTGAGCCCTGAAGGCAGGGTCCCTGAGGAGCTTCAGCCTCATTTGCCCTACGGGGCATAATCCAAGGCCACTCTGGCATCAGGAGAAGTAGGTGAATTTATGTGAGATTGAAACAGCTTGTGCTGGCCTCTGTGCATGGGGTCACTGTCAAGAACTACCTCTGATGTCTTTAGGCACAGCAGAATAGTCCACCCACTCAGACATCCTTGTGAGTTTTCCTATCCTGTGGACAGGAATGACACACCCAGTACCTGGCCACATTGATGGCTAAGGCGGCCGTTAGGCTTGAGCAGACCCTAGGATCATTTTGCCAAGTGGTGGTGCTAGATGCTCAGGGACAAAGAGAACATTAGTTATCCTCCATAATTTTGGGGATGTGAGGTGTTCCATGTCCAGGTGCCAGGATTATTGCTATAAAATCCATGTGTTCCATCCCATTACTAGTAAATTCTCTCTTTCTCCAATCATTTCCTACTTTCACCTAGACCTTTCATTCAGAAATATCAGGTGTGAGTGGGACCAGGGCATTTTCCCATATTTATAGGGACCTGCTATATTAAATATCATCTTTGCCCACATGGGCCACTGCAAGAGCCCCACAAGCAGTCTGCTCAACCAGGTGGTCGTAATGTTCAGGCCCTCAGGTCATACCACTTCACCACAGGCTCTTCACCAGAAATACAGAGCCCTCTGCTGTGTGCCAGTCCTTAGATGGCAATGGCAGTGACGTGGACAGTGTAGGCTTGATCCACAGTTTGATTCTAGTTGGTCTTGTCAGAGAATGAGCCTCACTATGGGCATCTAAATGAGTGATCCAGACTATCAGGTTCACAGCCACAATGTGTGGCCCCAAAGGAGGGAGGGTGTCTTTGAACTGCCAGTTTGTAGTCTTCAGATGGCTAAGATACCACCTACAGTGAGTAATATAACACAATAGGCTGCTAGTATGTATCACCTAAAGCAAGTGTGATGGTGTTTAATGCAGGTCATTATCTAACTGGCCTTTATGGCAGTTAGTCTCCTAGCATTGTCACTGGGGCTGGGCAGAGGCTTCTGCCGCAGATACCTGTGTTACCCAAACCATTGCCAAGTTACATGTCTCACTAGGAGGATTCACCAACTCAGTATACAGTTGCATGCATGGCTGTGATTTACTACTGAGAAAGGATGCCAAGCAGACAAGGGAAAAGGTGGAGGGGATAAAGTCTGGGGAAACCAGACATGGCTTCTAGAATCTTCTCCCAGTAGAGTCACACAGGATATGCTTAATCCCCCCAGCAACTAGTGACAACATGTGTACAATGTGGTCTACTGGCAAAGTTCTTTAGAGACCTAATGCCCTGGATTTTATTGGAGCTGGTCATGTGGGCACTTTCTGTTTATCTTGTACCAAAATTGCAAACTCTCGGAATAAAACCATGTATTCAGCATAAGCCATATTGTTTGCACAAACAGTTGGGCACAGTGAACCACTCTTATCAGTTAGCCCTTTTGAAACGCAGGTTTCCAGATGCCAGGCAAGAGCTAACCTTGAAAGTAGGCTGGCATCTGACTATGTTAACTCTTCTCTGCACCACCATTAAGTTTTAACTTAGCTGAACTACAGTGAGTGTTTAGGTCAGTGGTTCTCAATCTTCCTAATGCCATGACCCTTTAATACAGTTCCTCATGTTGTGGTGACCCCCAACCATAAAATTATTTTCATTGGGAAAGTAGCAAAATAATGTTATGGTTGGGGTCACCACAACATGAGGAACCGTATTAAAGGGTTGCAGCATTAGGAAGCTTGAGAACCACTGGTTTAGGGGAACCTTTGAACTGAGGGCTATGTTGAGTCAGTGGCTTTGCTTTATGTGGCGGAGAGGGGCATATAGTTTGCCCTACTGGGGTAACTGCTACCCTTCATGCAGAAGTTAGATGACACATCCTTCGAGTTTGTTTGCTGCAGTTATAACCCTGATAAATAGCCTCAGTTACCCTACATAGCATCATCCAAGGCTACTGTGGCATCAGGAGAAACAGATGAATTTATCTCAATCAGATTGAAACAGCTTATGCCCCTGTGCCACATAAAGCCTGTATGCACAGGATTACTGTCAGGAACTACCTTTGAAGTTTTTAATGCTAGGCACAGCAGAATAGTTCACTACTGCCTATCAGTGGACAGGAATGACTCACTACTGCCTATCAGTGGACAGGAATGACTCACCCGGGTCAAGAACAGTCAGCACCTTGCATTCTTGTATATATAGCAAGAAGACATGAGGGGATCTCAAGGCCCTAGCAGGCTGTCTGACCCCAAGAAGGGGTCGTCCGTGGAGAAGATTAATTCTGTGATGCTGGCTTTTCTCACTCTGCAGGTCATGCACGCCTCACAGGAGGAGGGTGAGAACACAAGCCACAGAGAGCATGAGTGCGAGGATAAACTGAGTCTAGTTTCATTGTAATGTGCTCTACTTGGACATACCATAGCAGCAGCATACTTTTTTTTTTTTTGAGACAGAGTCTCACTATTTCACCCTTGGTAGAGTGCCATGGCATCACAGCTCACAGCAACTTCAAACTCTTGGGCTTAAGTGATTCTCTTGCTTCAATCTCCCAAGTACCTGGGACTACAGGCACCCGCCACAACACCCGGCTGTTTTTTGGTTGCAGTTGTTGTTGTTTAGCTAGCCCAGGCTGGGTTTGAACCTGCCAGCCTCCGTGTATGTGGCTGGCACCCTACCCACTGAGCTATGGGCGCTGCCCCCAGCAGCAGCATACTTTACCTTTCGTTGGCTGGAAACAGTTCTGAAACTTCACTCACTTTTTGATAACCAGTGTGAACCTATCTAGTAGCAGCAGCCCCATGTTTGCTCAATTCCCATCATATACTCTGTCCATGCTGGTGAGTAGAGCCAGCTCGTAATCAGGCTGTGTGTCCAGGGGGCTGGCCCCATCCTTGCTCTTCAGATGCGCATAGTCTGATAGGGGAGGCAGCAGGGAAATACAGTCCCAATCCATTGTGATCACTGACCCAGTGAAGGAGGGAAGCATAATGAGTTGGGGGACTCCTGAGGGGGAGCCTAGCCCAGCCTTGGCAGGTAGGTGGTGGAGGCTCTGGGATAAGTAAGCTGCTGGTGGACCAGCTGAGGGAAGGCCTTTCAGGGATTGTGTAAAGGCTAAGATGTGTGGCACATTTGTTTGCTCAGCATTTAGTGAGCTTCCTGAATGTACCCCTGGGGAAGCGGTCTGGTTCTGCTGTCCTGGGAGCAACACTCTAATTGGGGAAGACAGACAGTCAATTAAAAAACATATAACATGGGCTTGGTGCCCATAGCACTGTGGTGCCAGCCACATAGACTGAGGCTGGCGGGTTTGGGTCCGGCCCAGGCCAGCTAAACAACAATGACAACTGCAACAAAAAATAGCCAGTCCCTGTGGCAGGCACCTGTAGTCCTAGCTACTCGGGAGGCTGAGGCAAGAGTATTGCTTAAGCCCAAGAGTTTGAAGTTGCTGTGAGCTGTGATGCCACCGCACTCTACCAAGGGTGACATAATGCAACTCTGTCTCAAACAAACACAAAAAACATATAGTATGGTAGTTGGTCACTAGGACTATGGAGGAAAAAAGCAGAATGTTAAAGAATGCTTGGTAAGGTGGGGGTATAGTTGCTATTTCAGGGGGAGGGAACCTGTTTTCTTTTTTTATTTTTATTTTTTTTTATTTTTTTTGAGACAGAGCCTCAAGCTGTCCCCCTGGGCAGAGTGCCATGGCATTACAGCTCACAGCAACCTCCAACTCCTGGGCTCAAGCG